GATCAAAAGTTCAAAGTCATCCTCAGCAACTTAGCAAGGCCCTAAGCAACTTAGTGAGACTCTGTCTCAAAATAAAAAACAAAAAGAGGGCTGGGGATGCGGCTCAAGTGGTAGCACGCTCGCCTGGCATGCGTGCGGCCAGGGTTCGATCCTCAGCACCACATACAAACAAAGATGTTGTGTCCGCTGATAACTAAAAAATAAATATTAAAATTCTTTCTCTCTCTCTCTCTCTCTCTTAAAAAAAAAAAAGAAGTTCTCTTCCTTAAAAATAAAATAAAATAAAATAAAAAACAAAAAGACCTGGGGATGTGGTTCAGTGGTTAAGTGCCTTGGGTTCAATCCCTGGTACCCCACCCGTTGCCAAAAAAAAAGGTGAAAATTTCTTCCAGAAAGGACTAGGGAAAATATTTGCATTGCACATGAAGAAAACAAAAATCCATACTACATAAGACCTCTTATAAAATGAGAGCCCCACCCTTTAAAACCATAAATAATTCATAGAAAAATACAAACTGGAATTTAACGTATTAAAAATTTCAATTACAGATTAAATAAAAAATATGAAATAAAATGCAGAGGTACAGAGTAGAGTTGATTTGCATTATCATCATTAGCTCTCGGGGCCTGCTTTAGTGACTCTCCATAATTGTCTCTTGGGTCCTATGCACCTTTTTAACTTCTTCCTCTCTTCTCCCCAAAGCCCCTTCCTCATTGGTGGACAATCTAATGTGCTCAATAATTCTTGGTTTATGACAGACTTGCATCCCTGGTTCATATGAGGTTTTCTTTTAAAAATTACTTTCAGTCTTCAGGACATAGGTCTGGGCAAAGATATTTTGGATATTACCTCCAATGCAAAGGCAATAAAAGTGAAACTAGACAAATGGACTTATTGCAAACTAAAAATCTTCTGCATAGCAAAAGAGACTCAATAGAGTAAAAAATATTTGCAAACTATACATCTGATAAATGATTAATATTGAGAGTTTATAAGGAACTCAAACAACCCAATAGCAAAAAGCCCCCAAACAATCTGATTTTAAAATGAGCAAATAATCTGAATAGACATTTATCAAAAGAACCCATACAAATGGCCAAAAAGTATATGAAAAAAATTTCAGCATCACTAATCATCAGGAAAATGTAAATCAAAACCACAATACAATATCACCTCACCCCAGTAAGAATGGTTAATGTAAGAAAGACAAATACCAAATGCTGGTGAGGATGCAGAGAAAGGGGAACTCTTATACATGGCTGAGGGAATGTAAATTAGTACAGCACTTATCAAAAACAGTATGGAGGTTTTTTGAAAAACTGGAAATAGAAATACCATGATGCACTCAAATGTGAAATGTAAAAAAGTGGATCTCATGAAGGTTGAGAGTTAAATAGTGGTCACCAGAAGCTGGGGAGAGGGGGAAGAGAGAGGGCTGGGGCGAGGTCTATCAGTGGATACTAAGTTAGGAGTAAGAAGTTCTGCCTGCTATTGCACAGTAGAGTGAATATAGATAACTATGGTGTGCTGTATATATATTTTTTAAATGTTCAAAGAAGGATTCTCATTAGAAGATGGTGGTACCCTTCACTGGACTCCACAGGAGAAAAGATTCAGGGCAGCAAAGGAGAAAGTATATTCCAAGGAGAGCGAGGAAGAACTCTGAGAACTGATAAAGTAGCCACGAGAAACCTAAACAGCACAGAAAATCGGAAAGGCCACCTAGAGAAATGGGCAAAGCAATTTGCAACCTCAACCCCTGCTCCTCAGCTGGGGGCAGGGAACCGAAGGGGGTGGAACATAACCAAAACTGTAAAGTGCAAGTGGCCATGGTAATAATGGCATCCTGCAGTCCTAATTGTAAGAGAAGTAAATTCATGATCCTTACATGCTTTAAGGGTTTTGATCTAAATGCGACTCCTGAACAAGCTTGCTTTAGAGAACAGATTCACTACATGGTTTAGCAGATACTCAAGACCTAGAATCAGGAGCCATCTCAACTAAATTGCTCTGGGGTCAGAAAATCTAGAATACTCACAATTCAGAAGACCTGGTTGAGTGGAAGAGGGTACTTGAGGCAGTGGTGGCTTTGGAGATTGAGAGATATCTGACAAGAACCCCGGGGCAGCAAGGGCTGTGATACGAAGAGCAATGGAGGGAACAAGGTCAGTGATCCCACCCACTGTGACAAGAGTGACAATAGGTGTAGTGGTTTTGCACTGGGATCAAGTCTGGAGGCTCCAGGAGAGAGGCTCTCAAGTGACCAGTTTCTGCAACCCTTCACTTTCTAGCGCGGAACAGTGGTTGGCTCCTCCAAACCTGAGGCATGCTGGGGACACTTGGATGATTGCCAGGCCTTGGGGGCACACACTGGAAACCTCAGACTCACCTACATACACTGAAACTTGGAAGAGAATCTGATGAAAATTGACAAGGCTCCCCACACCCCGGGGGACCCATACTAAAAACCTCCGGAGGGACTCCAGCCCTGGTGCAGTCAGCATTCTCTCAACCTGTCCAGCAAGAAGCTCCAGGCACAGCATATTCTTCTCTGTTCATTTGGTGTGACATGAGAGGATGCACAATAGATAGTAACTGAGATCCACTACCCCCAACACCCAGAGCATCCCAGGAGGCCCAGAGACAAACCTCTCTGAGAATCCAGCTAAGAGCTATTTATTTTATTTTATTTTTTTACAGGTTTATTTTGGCTCATAGTTCTGGTGATATGAGATCTAAGAACTTCATTGACCTTCTTGCTGGCTGAGTCCTGAGATGATACAGAGTGTCATATAGCGAGAGGCAAGGATTGCCTAATATCTGTCTGGTTTTGCTCTCTCTTCTAATTAAACCCCCAAGATCTGGTCATGCGGGCTTCACCCTAATGACTTTTTGTTGTTGTTGTTCTAATTAGTTACATGCCAGTAGAATGCACTTTTATATATCATACATAGATGGAACATGATTTCTCATTCTTTTGGTTGTACACGATGTAGAATCACACAGGTCGTACAGTTATATATGTACATAGGGTAATAATGTTTGATTCATTCTACTATCCTTTCTACCCCCATACTCCCTCCCCTCCCTTCTCTCCCCTCTACCTAATCTGAAGTAACTATTTTTTCCCTAGGCCCCCCTCCTTATTGTAAATTAGCATCCTCTTATCAGAGAAAACATTTGGTCTTTGTTATTTGGGGATTGGCGTATTTCATTTAGCATGATATTCTCCAGCTCCATTCATTTACCAGCAGATGTCATAATTTCTTCCTTCTTTAAGGCTGAGCAATATTCCATTGTGTGTGTGTGTGTGTGTGTGTGTGTGTGTGTGTGTATCACATTTTCTTTATCCATTCATCTGTTGAAGGACACCTAGGTTGGTTCCATAGTTTAGTTGTTGTGAGTTGAGTTGGTATAAACACTGATGTGGCTGCATCACTGTAGTATGCTGATTTTAAGTCCTTTGGATTTAAACCAAGGATAATTGCTGGGTCAAATGGTGGTTCCATTTTAAGTTTTCTGAGAAAACTTAATGGTTGCATCAATTTGTAATCCAACCAGCAATGTATGAGTGTGCCTTTTCCCTCACATCCTCACCAACATTTATTGTTGTTATATTCTTGATAATTGCTATTCTTCCTGGGGTGAGATGAAATCTTAGAGTAGTTTTCATTTGCATTTCTCTAAAATTGCTAGTGATGCTGAACACTTTTTCATATATTTGTTGATTGATCTTATTTCTTCTTCTGTGAAGTGTCTGTTTGGTTCCTTAGCCCATTTATTGATTGAGTTATTTGGGTTTTTTTGGTGTTAAGTCTTTTTTTTAATTTAATTTAAAAAATTTATTCTAATTTGTCATACATGATGGCAAAATTCAATTCATTTCATATTACACATAGAGTACAAATTTTCAAGACACTGATTGTACACAAAGTATTTTCACACCATTTGTGTCTTTATACATGTACTTAGGGTAGTGATATCTAACTCATTCCACCATCATTCCTACCCCCTTGCCTCCTCCTTTCCCCTCCCTCCCCTTTGCCCTGTCTAAAGTTCCTCATTCCTCCCATGCTCCCTGCTAGTTGTCATTATGAGTCAGCATGCTCATATCAAAGAAAACTTTCGGCCTTTGTTTTTTTGGGGTTGGCTTCTTTCATTTAGCATTATATTCTCCAACTTCATCCATTTACCTGCAGATGTCATGATTATATTCTCTTTTAATGCTGAGTAATATTTCCATTGTGTATATACCAAAGTTTCCCTCTCCATTCATCTACTGAAGGGCATCTAGGTTGATTCCATAATTTGGCTATTATGTCATTTTAAAAGTGAGGAAACTGAGGGATGATAAGTGTTAGTTGGTTCTGGGTTCTTTAACATGAGGGATCACACTTTCTCTTATACATAGAAATATTGGATAAACTCTTTAAAATATTAATTGTTTACAAGTGAAACTATTGATACAAAATTAAATATTTATAAATTAAATATTTTAAAACTATCAAGAGCAAAGGAATTCCTTACTTGTTAAAAATGAAGAAAACCCCAAAACAGAGTGGACATGATGTACATTTATAGATAAGAGAAATCCCATTGAAGGGAAGCTCTCATTATAAAAAATTATAAGCCAAAGAAGGAAGCATAATTATGTGCATGAGGAAGATTCAGGAGACACAATAAATTGGTGAATTGGTATCCCTAAACAATAAAGGAAAATCTGAAAGACATTATAAATCATTTTAAATGATGAGGGAGAAAAATAAAGCAGTGAGACCACAATGAAAGAACTGAATACTTTACCAACACCTTAATGATTAAGACACTTATCCACGGTGACACAATGGTAAGTGGTAGGGCTGGGCTTCCTAAGCATGAGCTCTTATTTGCAGGTTCTGCCCTAGATTTGAAGAGTCTATTAGACATTCCAGGGCAATAGCCAAAGTGGGTTTGGAGAGAGGCAGGGCATGTAAAGTCTCACCATATTTTTCTCTCACAGCACCACAGAACTTCAGTACTGAGTGTGTCTTCTCAACATGGCCACCGCCATCTCCCCTCTGCCACTCACCACCGAGGATGCCAGTTCTGAGAACAGTTCCTTCTATGACTACTACTACCTAGATGAGGTGGCTTTCTTGCTCTGCAGGAAGGATGATGTCCTGTCCTTTAGTAGAGTCTTCCTGCCAGTCTTCTACAGCCTGATTTTTGTGTTGGGCCTGACCGGGAACCTCCTCCTTCTCGTGGTCTTACTCCGTTACGTGCCTTGCAGGCGGATGACTGAGGTCTACCTTCTGAACCTGGCCATCTCCAACCTCCTGTTTGTGGTGACTTTGCCCTTCTGGGGCATCTCCGTGGCTTGGCATTGGGTCTTTGGCAGTTTCTTATGCAAGATGATGAGCACCCTGTATACCATTAACTTTTACAGTGGCATCTTTTTCATCAGCTGCATGAGCCTGGACAAGTACCTGGAGATTGTTCATGCTCAGCCCCTCCACAGGCTGAGGACTCGGGCCAAAAGTCTGCTGCTTGCTGCCATAGTGTGGGCCGTGGCCCTGGCCATCTCCATCCCTGATATGGTCTTTGTGCAGATACATGAAAACCCCAAGGGTGTGTGGAACTGCTACGCGGATTTTGGTGGACACGGGACCATTTGGAAGCTCTTCCTCCGCTTCCAACAGAATCTCCTGGGGTTTCTCCTTCCACTTTTGACCATGATCTTCTTCTACTCCCGCATTGGTTGTGTCCTGGTCAAGCTGAAGCCCCCAGGCCAGGGCCGGGCTCTAAGAGTAGCTGCATCACTAGTACTGGCTTTCTTCTTGCTATGGTTCCCATACAACCTCACCTTGTTTCTGCACTCACTGCTGGACCTGCATATCTTTGGGGACTGCCAGGTCAGCCACCATCTGGACTATGCACTTCAAGTGACAGAGAGCCTTGCCTTTCTTCACTGCTGTTTTACCCCTGTCCTCTATGCCTTCTCCAGTCGCCGTTTCCGCAGGTACCTGAAGGCTTTCCTGGCTGCTATGCTCAGGCGGCGTCTGGCACCTGGTACTGCCCAGGCCTCATTGTCCAACTGTTCTGAGAGCAGCAGGCTTACTAACCAAGAAGAAATGACTGATATGAAAGACCCTGGGGAGAGGCAGACCGAAGGAGCCATTAACAAGGGGACTGAGGGGAATAGTTCAGCCTGAGTGGCCATACCACAGTCTAGAGAGAGAAGATGACGCTTACTCAGTTGGGCTTCTGCCTGAAGCAATCCCTCTGAGGATCTCAGTGACCATGCTGCTAAACCCAGTGGTCACTTTTTTATTCCCAACCATCAGCATCACCTTCTCGCTCCTTGTTTCTTCCTTCATTTTCTTCACTAGCTTTCAGGACCACACACTCTCACCTGAATTGCTGCAGTAGTTTCCCAACTGATTTCTGTGTTCCAATCATCATGTACTTCTGTTGCTTAATGTGCCTCCAACAGTCAGAGTGATCATGACACTCTTAGCTGTCCTTTCTTCGCCCTCAGAGTAGCAGCTCAAGTCCTTACAGTGCTCCTTAGAGGGCTCTGTGATCTGTTTCCCAGCCTCTGCCCTCATCTCCAGCCCACTCCCTCCTGCTCACTCTGCTCTGGACACATTGGCCTCCAGTGCTGTCTCCAGACATTCCAGGCATATCCCTTTAAGGAGATTCCTCTGTGCCATCTTCCTGGAAGAGCTTGGCTCCTTCTCTCACCTCGTCAGCTCTTGACTCAGCTCCCATTTTCTCTATCAGATGTTCACAATATTTAATGCACAATCTGTTGTTTCTAATCTTCTTCCCTCGGCTCTCCTTTTTGTTTTTGTTTTTTTCAATAGCACTTACTACTCTCTCATATTCTATATATTTCTCTTATTTTTATGTTTATTGGTTATTGTCCCTATTATGGTTTGGATTTTCAATGACCCTAAAGGCTCATATCCCTAGTGCATGGTCCCCAGTGCAGCAATGTTCAAAGGTAGGTCTTTTAGGAAATGATTGGATCATGAGGGCTCTGACCTCATCAGTTGGTTAATTAATTGAGGGATTCATAATTTGAATGGACTTTTGGGAGGTGGCAAAAACTGTAGGAGGTGGGACCTGATTGAAGGGAGTGGGTCCCTGGTGCCGTGCCCTTGGGGACTAAATTTTATCCCTGGTTTAGCCCTTTTTTTTCTCTCTTCTTCTTCCTGGATGCCATGGGGAGAGCAGCTTTTCTCCACAACACCCTCTCTACAATAATGCTGTGCCTCACCAAGGCCCAGAGTGATAAACCATGGACTGAAACCTCTGAACTGTGAACCAAAATAAACATTTCTTTCTTTAAGTTTATTTTTTTTCAGGTATTTTGTCACAGCAATGCACAGCTGACAAACATAGTCCCCAATCCCGTTATTGCAGGTGAGCTCCACAGGGTGAGGATCTTGGTGTACAGCTCACTGTTCTTCCAAAGCCTCCAGCATAGGACCTGGAGTGTAGAAGGTATTCAGGAAATATCTTTGGGATGTGTGCCTAGAGGGTTTTGTTGTTGTTGTTGTTTTGTTTTTTTTTTTTTTTTTTTTTTTTGTGGCACTGCTGGAGAAGAAAAGCCAGAGGTCCTCCACCCACCAGAGTGCCCTGTTTTCTGTATCTCAGTTGGGAAAAGATCCTTGTAACCTTGATGGCAGCTCCAGGGTCTGGCCATCAGAAGAGGCTGCAGATGCTCCTCCCAGGAACATGCACAATCTATAGGAGGAAACACAGTGAACACACCCTCTTCCTGCCCTGTCTCAGGAGCCTTTCGGTCTCCCTGGGGCCTAAACAATCAAGTCCAGAAGCTTTGTCATTCTGCCCTGTGCTTTGGGTGGAGGTTGGGTACAACATAGGGCATAAACTGCTATGGTTTGGATAAGTGTCCCCCAAAGGCCCGTGTATTTAAGGCTTTGTCCCCAAGGTGGCGCTATTGAGAGGTGGTGGAGCCTGTAAGAGATGGGGCCTAGTGGGAGGCACTTATATGATGAGATGTGCCCTTGAAGGGAATTGTGAAACCTTGGCCTTCTTTCTCTCTCTCTGTCCTTTTTTACCTTCCTAGATCATGGGGAGAGCAGGTTGCTGTGCTATCTACTCCCCATCATTACTCTGGCCCACTACAGGCCCAGAGTAATGTTCTGCCTGATCTTGGACTAGAATCCCCAAATTAGGAGTCAAAATAAACATTTTCTCTTTTTAAGCTCATTAGCTCAGGCATTTTGTTATGGTACCACGAAGCTTACAATATAGAGACCAGTTACAGCCTTCCATTTCCCTTGCCTTGGTGCATCATTCAGGGATGGGCATATGACCTAGGAAGAGCCAGTAAAATATGATGCAGCTAGAACATGCTAGAAACAAAGTATGAAACTGACGATGAGGGGGTATGAAGTCTGGAGCTGCTCCTTCATCATCTGAACTTTGGAAGATGAAAGGAATAGCACAAGTGAGTGAGCAGAGCCTGGGGACAGTATCTGTGCCTCAGAATCAAGGCAGGCAGACACTCATGCCAAACCTGAGATTTTGACAGCTGCATGAACCAATAAAGCCCTTCCCAGTGTGGACTCATGTTGTTTTGTTGCAACTTAAAGATTCCTGATGAATATTCCCCACCTGGATGCTTTTCTCTTCACATCTCCCATGGTTGCCATCTTCCTGCCCTCTGACAGGTCCCCTGAGAAACCTTTCTCTAGGGAGCCCCCAAGACCACAATGGCACTCTCTTTCCTGAGCTTCTAAAATGCTCGCCATTTCCCCTACCTCATAGAACCACCACAGCTTGGCCACATCTTGAAATTTCTGTCTTGTACGACCAAACAAAGAACCTGGGACACAGAAAATGAATCATCTAGGAGGATGGAATGAAGGGTAGCATTAGATGATTGGGTACTGCAAGAACAGGGACTTCACCATGTGAAAAATCTCTATCCTCCGTGTTGCTACCAGTGCTGCTCATGATGCAGTAAAGTTTCACTAAGTACTTCTTTACTGTCTTCCTCTTATGTTTTGTTCTTTACCTCTTCCTCCTCCTCCTTTTCTTCCTCTTCCTCTTTTCTCTTCTATCTATCTATCTATCTATCTCAATTTCTTACTAAGTACTATTTTGAATGAATGGCTAATGAACTGAGCCACAATGAGGATTTTACCCACTCTTTTCTTCTCTTCCCCTGAGCTTTGTGTGGCCTACTCATGGTGCATAGGTTGTGAGCCCAGCTGCTGTTTGATGCTGCCTGAGTTGCCTCTGGTGCTCTTCCACCTCTGCCTTTCCTCCTCCATCTCATTCAGCTCTGGTGCCTTCAGTTCTCTCTTTCCAAGGCCCCAGATTCCCCACTGTCAGGAAGGACTCTGAGTTTGCTTAGTCCCCTGGGAAATGAGGTGGTGATTTGTTTGAGCACGTGGAGGATGACATTCTATTTTAGAACTCCTGAAATCTTGCCCCACAACGGACTTCTGACCTGCTCACACACCAACAATGCTGATGTGATGCAGCTTGAGCTGTACCAATAAGTCTAGGTACAACCCCCCCCCCAAAAAAAATCCCTAACTTTGTGCCCTTGGTGCACTGATTAGATGGAACAAAGTATGCCAGGTAAGGGACATCTGGCAGGGCTTGTCACCAGCACTGGTAGGTATGTGGATGTGATTGTGTGTTAGCCTGTGGAGTCTGTGTGCATGTCTGTGTTGATATGCCTGCTTGTATTACTGTGTGAGCTGTGCACAGTATATATGGATTCAAAATGAATATGTAACTATGTTCTTGTGGTGTGGGTATGTGCCTGTGGATTTTCTTTCTTCTTGTGTATCTTTGTGTGTGTATGTGTTTACCCGCATGTGTGCACTCCCTGCAAAAGGCAGATGTATAGTAAGTAGTTCCCACAGGGAGTAGTGGGTCTGGCCCAAAGTATATTGTTCCCTCTCACTGTCTTAAGTGCTGTGTACCTAAACTCACCAGCTATCCCAGCCCAGGCCAAGACAGAGCCTTCTCCATGTTGACCTTACTTCCCAGCCTGGTTCCTCTTCCTGCTCTCTGTCTTCCCAAAGGTCTGACAAGGCTTGACTCCCCCACTTCACTCTCTGAACCTTCTCCAGGGGTCTCAGAAACCTCCCTCAATTCCCTTGATCCTCGGGCTCTGAGAAAAGCCGAATTCTTCTCTAGGGCTCACTCAGGAGAAAATGTAGGGATGGCTTTGCTGTGGGCAGGGCTGCTGCCACCCTTCACTCTGTGGAGTATTCTCGCCAACAACCCTCGCTGAAGAGAGCTGGGTTCAAAAGAGCTGTCTGCAACATTAAGCTGAGAAAACGGTGAGAAAGCACAGAACACAGAAGTAATTTTCATGTCAAGGGTAAGACAGCCCTTCAACCTTAAGGGTCAGCTTCCATGCTGGAAGGCGCTGAAAAGAGAGCATGCACCTAGAATCTCTTTATTTTTATGGGGTGGGGACACACACAAAGGAGTTTTGATGGAATGTTCTTCACCAAATAAGGCAGGGGATAAGATTTCAAAGGAGGGTTGTCCAACCCCATTGGGTAACACTCAGATCCAGAGTTGAAGCAAACTTCTTTGCTGAGCGAAGGTGAAGGCCACTTGTTTTGCACAGTGTGTGGCATGCGATGCCAAACCAATCACCTCCCTTACTCAAGGCTGAGAGAGAATGCTCAGCCCTGGACAGGCAACCTCCCACAGAGTGTGATGTGCATGTTCACAGCAGTCACTCTGTATCGAAAAAAACATCTCTTTTCTCTTCCAGAATTTCTCTGCCTAGAATTCCACCACTGAGAATAATACCTGATCTTATTTTGTTATAAGTGATCCTTAGAGAGAATACATTTTCAGGCTTTCTCTGGGGTCCTCATGAGAAAAGGGGTGAGAGGGAGAGAATATTTGGTGCAGAAATGAGGAAGCGGGGTGCAGAACTACTGGGTCAGGGCAGGTGGTGACTAGTTGCACCTTTGGGGATCTCAATCTTCTTACTTTCTCAGGGCCTCTTCCAGGATTGTTTCTAGCAATCCTCATGCAGAAGGCACAGAATCAGAGGTGTCCCAATTCCTTCCCTGCCAGCAGGTGAACACTGGGCTCCATCTGCACACCCCAATCTGGGATGCATGCTGTTTCCTGGGAAACCCACTGTTTACATTGTGTATTCCTGACTGTGGGATGGAGTACCTGCGATCACCTTACACCTAACCCTCTGAAACTTCCCTTGGTCCCAAACATTCTTTCTGGGCTCTCAAACAGGACACAAAGTCCATGAATTTCCTTGAGATCTGCATATGGTCACTCCTAGTTGAGACCTTTTAGTCCTGACTCAGTGGACTCAAGCCTTCAGCAGTGTCCCAGCCTTTCCACAGGCCAAGATCCTGCTCTATTTTCTCTTGGGTGTGGGGAAAGGGAGGGGACATGGCACTGAGATCTCAGCAAGGGCAAGGAAGGTACCTTGTCCCCTTACCCTCATCCCTATTGAACATAGGGCCTGGCTGCCTCGGGAGGTTGTTGGTAAGTCCCTTGCAGATGGCTTCTGATTTCCAGCCTCCTCCTCCTCCTCCTCCTGTGCCCTCTACACAACTCCTCTCCTTGTGATTCTGGACCTTGTGAAATAGGATGGGATATCCTAGCCTGTTCTCCAGGCAGACATCATCATTTGGGGACAGCTAAACCCAGAGAAAAGCAGGCGCTGACCCAGGGTCACACAGCTAATTGGGGAAGAAGCCAATGGGAGATGCAGGATAGGAGAGAGAAGCCCCATTGGCTGGACCTTGCTGTGAGGTTCCATGCTGCCTGGGCCCACCTTCTCCAGGACCCTCTATCCAGCTCCCACAGTTATTCCTCAGTCTGTCCCAATTTCAGATGGCTCTGCTATCAGATAGCTGTAGTTCTGGCGGCAACACCCTCCCAACTCCTCTTGGCCATGATAAGCATGCTTCCAATGGGAATTACCTCCATGTCTTATATCAGAAAGCTGAGGCCAGGGAGGGGCAGGAAGGAATTTGAGGACACAAAGTAAATTAGCTGAGACTAGAAGTCAGGGTGCTAGCATTTAAACTACATTTAGAGAATTAGGAATCATGAAAATGAGTAAGATATCATCCCCTGGTGGGCTCCAGTCTGGGACAGGAGGAGACAGTCAAGACACAAAGCAATGACATATATGTTCTGTGATACCAGTGGTACTAGGGAACCCAAGGGGACAGAGGTCATTTCTGGGATGGGGTGGCTGAAACACAGGAAACCTTCTAGAAATAGCTGGCACTCGGGTTGGCAGAAAGCAATACTTCTGCTTTAAGAACAATTCCATCAGAAAAAGTTGAATTTCACTGGATGGAGAT